ACGTCGTCGTCGTAGGAGTAGGAGTAGGAGTAGGAGTAGGAGTAGGAGCGCAAAGGCAGTAGCAGTAGCAGTAGCAGTAGCAGTAGGAGTAGTAGTTGTAGTAGGAGTAGTAGTAGTAGTAGTAGTAGTCGCAGTAGCAGTAGCAGTAGCAGTAGCAGTAGTAGTAGTCGTAGTAGTAGTAGTAGCAGTATGGGTAAGGGTAGGGGTAAGGGTAGGGGTAAGGGTAGGGGTAGGGGTAAGGTGGTGGTGGTGCTGCTGCTGCTGGTGGTGGTGGTACTAGCAGTAGTAGCGGTAGTAGAAGTAGGTGTGTAGTAGTAGAGTGGTATTAGAGTGGTAGTAGAGTGGCAGTAGTGGTAGTAGAGTGGTAGTAGGGGTAGTAGTCGTCATTCGTTCATGAACGGATTCATAATACTGGTGATAGTGACAAGGGAAAAGATGGTGATTGATGGTAGTCTAGGATTGCCCTAACACCCTTTGAAAAATTTTCCTGAATATGATCCTCTTAAACCCAACAAGGGAAAATACAAAATGTCGCACGGGCCTACCTGGTAATGGTTGTGCGTAGTAGTAATGGCACTAAGAAGAGCAGGGACCTTAACTAAAGCCGACGAAGATTCAGAGTTTGAAAGCAAAAGTAATGTCAAAATGCTTCCAAAAAAAGAACGAAACATCGTACTATATATATATATGTATATAAAGATGGTAAGGTCAAAGGTAAACCCTAAACCCTAAACCCTAAACCTGAAACCCTAAACCCTAAACCCTAAACCCTAAACCCTAAACCCTAAACCTAAACCTAAACCTTGCGGTTTAGGTCTTAGGGCTTAGGGTTGAGACAGAGCCCGGACACCAGGCCGCCCAAGAGCAGCGCTGCGAGAAGCTCAAGGCTCCTTCGCTTTTAGGGGGTTTAGGGTTTAGGAATTAGGGTTTAGGGTTTAGGGTTTGGGGTTTGGGGTTTGGGGTTTGGGGTTTAGGGTTTAGGGTTTAGGGTTCAGGGCATTGGGAGGGATTACTTGGAAGCTCGCTTGACTTAGTAAGTAGGGTGAGAAAGGGGGGCTATGGGGATTCTAAGAGGGTCTCTAGCGGATACGAAGTAGACTTACTAAGTCAACAGAGCTTCTAAGTATCAGAGCTTCAGGAATTCCATACCTCCACGTCTTCCCTTAACCCGTATTTAGTCCCTAAACGCTGGGGCTTTGAGCAACATGATGGAACGGGTCTGCAGCTGGGAGAAGCGGCATGGAGGCTTTTTGGGATAGCCCGCGTGCCTCCAAACCTCCTGGCTGGGGACAGGGGAATAGCACGACGCCTTGATGCCAATCACTCTGCACAGAAACCTAGTGAGGTTGAGGGGGTCTAGTTTGCAGTTCACGACTGCGATGAAAATACGACTAAAGATACGGCGCTCAATCCTAAAGGGAAGGGAGCTATCCGGGGCACCCCTAGGTACTTGGTCTGCGTCGTGGTCTTGACAGCGCTTTTTCGGGCATGGAACCCTAAATCCCAAACCGTAAACCCAAGACCCTAAACCCAAAGCCCCAAACCCTATGCCCTAACCCTAAACCCTGAACCCTAAACGCCCTAAACCCTTCTCCCTGGCACTCCTTGGGGAGGCCGCCGGCGGGCGCATGGGCGCCGGTCTTTTGAGGGCTTTCAGCGGCGGCTGCGGAAACGAGGATCTTCTTACTTCTTGAGGGAGATAAGTTGGGATGTTCCCACCTTATATATACTAACAGGGTTTTGGGTTTAGGGTTTAGGATTTCGGGTTCAGGGTCCTTAAATGTAAGGAAGGGACCCTCAGAAGGCAAGCTTAAGTGTCTTCCGCTGTATTTGTACCTGTTGAATGTCCAGACCCTCCACGAGCCCTTTGCCCAGGTGCTTCGCTTCTTCTTTTCCGACTTGTGGTTCAAAGGCATGCAGCACGAGTACATAACCCGAACATGCTTGAAGCACTCAGTAGGGATGTGCTTGGAAGGGGCTGCATGCACCGCAAACACATAGCTTTCAAGAAAGATTTGTAAGTCTGGCTTTGTATAGCACTTGTCAGCTTGCTTTTGTTCTTTCTTCTCTTCTGAGTCCGAGCGTGTTCGCTTGCTGAGAGAAAAGCCATAGGCCGCTCTGCGCTGTGCAGTCTGGGAGACTTTGGGCGATTGGAGTTTCGGAGGTTTTCTTCGGCAAAGAATACAAGGTTCGAGATTTCGGAGGAGGACTCAGTCCACATCGAAGGGGTGCTCTTCGCTGGGGACCTGTTTGAGCCATCAACAGGTTATGAGTGCCCAATCCGCTTCGGCGGTGCGGGGCTCCGCTACAGGGCCTCTGATGAATGGTCGCGGGCACCAGTCGTCGGTGGCGCCAAGCTATGGGGCTGCTTCTGAAGCTGGGTCTACAAGTGGTGTGGGCTTGGATGCTGGGAGCAGTTTGCCGCAGGACACGAGGATGGCCTCCGGCTGCAGATCTGGCAATGATCTGCAGCAGGGGTCCATCCCTGGCTCTGGAGGTGGTGGTACAGCTACACCTTTGGAGGTTGTGAATGACCTGAGGGCGGCAACCGATGGGGGCGAGGCCCCAGATACCGGTTTGCCCCCTGGAGCAGGCAACAACAGTTCAGAACTACCCGAAGGACCTTTGGAGAGTGCACGGCGAGCTGTAGGACAGATCTGGCAAGCGGTGCAGGTGGCCGCTGGACACCCTGCTATGGCTTCCCGACCTCCTATGAACGAAGGAGGAGAGTCTGGGGAAGTGGAAACGTATCTGAGTGCTGGCTGGGATGGGTCACGGGATGATTCGAGGTCTCCCTCTCCACCACGTGGGCCTCCCCCCGCTCCAGCCGAGGTGATGTTGCAGCAGCCACTGTTTCCGCCTGAAGTCCTGAGCCAGATTGAGACGATGAATCGCGAGGCGCCTTTGCTTTCTGGGTTTGGGAGTCCTGGAAGAGAAGCTGGAAGGCCTGAGTCGTCGGATTCAGCTGGTGTGAGCAGTGGGGCCGTTCAGGCCGAAGTGCATCGACAGCTGGAGGTCATGCGAAGAGAGCATAGTGCGCTTGTACAGGGACTAGCTAGGGAGAATGAGTTCCTAAGGGACCGTCTCGCTAATGCTGTAGCTGTAGCAGAACGGGAGTCATGGAGAACTAGCACAGTAGGTAAGGTTTGGGGTTGGTTGGGTGAGAACTTCAAGGGATTGGGTTCGGGTCCTCGGCAAACCCTCAACCAACCAGGCGCAGGTTTTCCCCCGGTTGCAGCTCAGGGTACGAAGCCCTTGGAGCATGTCCCAGGCGTGCCAGCATTTCCCTCGGTCGCAGCTCAGGGTATGCAGCCCTTGGAGCATGTCCCAGGCGTGCCAGGTGCATCAGGCGCAGCATTTCCCTCGGTCGCAGCTCAGGGTATGCAGCCCTTGGAGCATGTCCCAGGCGTGCCAGCATTTCCCTCGGTCGCAGCTCAGGGTATGCAGCCCTTGGAGCATGTCCCAGGCGTGCCAGGTGCATCAGGTGCAGCGTTTCCCTCGGTCGCAGCTCAGGGTATGCAGCCCTTGGAGCATGTCCCAGGCGTGCCAGGTGCATCAGGCTTTGCATTTCCCTCGATTGCAGCTCAGGGTATGCAGCCCTTGGAGCATGTCCCAGGCGTGCCAGGTGCAGCATTTCCCTCGGTCGCAGCTCGGGGTACGAAGCCCTTGGAGCAAGTCCCAGGCGTGCCAGGTCCAGGTGCAGCATTTCCCTCGGTCGCAGCTCGGGGTACGAAGCCCTTGGAGCAAGTCCCAGGCGTGCCAGGTCCAGGTGCAGCATTTCCCTCGTCGCAGCTCGGGGTACGAAGCCCTTGGAGCATGTCCAAGGCGTGCCAAGCCCAGGTGCAGCAGTTTCCCCGATCCAAGATGCAAACGCTAGGAGTCCTGAGGTCACGAACTTACTGCAAGGCCTGCAAGCTGTCCTGCGGGGAAGTGAAGGTTCACCCACGAGTGCCGAGCAGGTCAAGTACCATTGGCAGGAACTTCCTAAGTTGCCTGAAATTGGGGCTGAGGCATCGTTGGCATTCATGGATTGGTTGCACCTTTGCGCGCCCTGTGTGGAGGACATGTCCAGCACATCGGCTGACTATTGGGCATGCTTGTGCAAGGAAGCAGAGAGATGGTACGCTGGATACATATCGGCCGATCCTGTCACCCGTTTGACTCTAAACCCTGTCCCGAGTTACGAACTCCAGGATGTAAGATGGTCCAGGTTGGCAAAAAGGTTGGAGTCGCTCCTAATTGCAGCCTGCCCAAAGTCCGTCAAGGAAGAACTCGTGGCAGGGAGGATCAAAACTCCTCTGGGGATCATCTGCCGACTGTATTCTCTGTATGCCCCTGGTGGAGTCTCGGAACGAGAGCAGGGGATTCAGTTCCTTCAATCTCCTGTGCAAGCATCATCGCCGCACCAAGCCACTGAAGTCCTCCGGAAGTGGAAGCGTTGGCTACTGCGAACTCAAGCCTTGGGAGGAACCACTCCTGATCCAGTGATCCTTGTAAAGGCCCTAAATACGATAGTTAAGGGTGTGCTTGAGGGGGCTCCCGAAGCTCTCTTTAGGGTTAATCTGGTTCGAGCCGCCTTGAAGGTTGAGGTTGCACCAAGCCAGGAGTCGGTCGTTCAGCTCCATGCTGCCCTTACTGCCGAGGTTGAAGCGCTCGGAAGGGTCACTCCGAAGGCCAAGGCGCCCCCTCCTCAGATTGCAGCGGTGGATAACCCGACAGCTCCAGCATCGTCTTCGCAAGCACCAGGCCCTAAAGGAAAGGGGAACCCTAAGAACCCTGCCCCAGGACTCCCGACGGTTAACCCTAAGAGTCCTCCGCCACAGCCTGGTTCCACAGGGAATAAGTGTCGGTTCTTTCTGCAGGGTCAGGGTTGCCGTAAAGGGGAAAGGTGCCAAGACTTGCACGAGTGGAAGGAGATTCCTGCGAATGAGCGTAGTGAAAGATGTATGGCTTGTGGAGGAAGAAATCACCGGAAGGTGGATTGCCCGAACAGCAAAGCCGGAAGGGCCGGGGGTCCACCTCCCAAGAACCCTAAGACCTCACCTCCACCAAAGGGACCTGAGTTGAAGGCTGCAGCTCCCTCGCCCAATGCCAACCACGTCACAGCTCTCCTTGAGGATGCTGCCAAGGTTCTCAAGGCAATCCAGCCCAAGGAACCCTCCGGGGTACCTGTCGTTGAAGCACAGCCCATTCCATCAGCGTCGCAAGCTCCTGTCGCCCAAGGGGTTCCTGTTTCGGTTGCGACCCTTCAGGCCCACCTCGATGCGATCCGCCAGGCGATCCCTGATGGACAGCCTAACATCAGAACTGCACAGGTAGCAAGCACTGACCCCTCGCCTTGCGAGGTAGACCAGGGTGAAAGGACTGGCTTGCTGGACTCCGGAGCCTCGCACCCCATGCGTTCTCGAGAGCCTAAGGACACCAACACGTCTCGCACTGAGGTCACTTTGGCCGGAGGGGTGACGAGGGTGATGGAGCAAAATTCCTCCGGAACCATCCTGGTTGAGCCGGGATCGCAGCCCATCGTCCCGGTTGGAGCTTTGATCCAGGAGCTAGGATGCTCTTTGACATGGTCTGGGAAGAAGGCCACCTTGGTGCATCCGCTTCATGGGAAGATCCCGCTTCGTGTCCGCCAGGGTTGTCCGATCTTGGCAGAGACCAGAGCTTTGGAGCTCATCCATGAGCTTGAAGAAGCTAAGCTGGCGAAGTTCAACACTGAGGTGGAAGAGCTTCAGGCCATCCTAAGAGGTTTAAGTGCACCGAAGCCACTAAAGGCTAGGGTCAAGGAAGCTAGGGAAACTGGTTCCAGGGTTGAGCTGCTGCAAGCTGCGACGGCAACAGGCCTCTTTGCGAAGGAGCACCTTCCTCTCCTGGGAGCCAACCTCCCCATCCACAGCCACCATGTGCGACACGTCCTAAAGGCCCTTCAGCTGCCAAGGAGAACTAGGCGAACGCTAGAGAGCTCTAAGGACTGGGTGCTAAGGTTTGTTAGGCAAGACTTCGGGGACGATCCTTTGGATACTTGGTGTAATCAAAGGGGGGTTCCCATAGTAACCATCAACCTGAGCAAGCAGCACCGCGAGGCCCTGACCCCTGGAAACAGCATCGCTCAGATTCTTCTGTGGGCCGCCGTCCATGGTCGAATTGCTGGGGTAGAGGGTGAGCTTGGCCCCAATCTCAGCCTGGTCCCGTTGTTGCAGTGGTTGTGGACCCTTTCGTCTGTTGTTAGGGGTTACACGGTTCCGTTGGCGGTGATGTCGTCGTCGGCCAAACCCTTCACGACTGAGGCGTGGAACCGGTTCGCTACTTGGACCGGTGGCCTTGAAACAAGAGAGGCGCCACACACCGGCACTGTGATTGCTTCCAACTGCGCTATACCATCCCTGGATTCCTGCAAGGTTGAGGCCGAGGTGAGAGCTTGCATTGCCGGAGCTTTCCTGCCACCGTCGGATGTTTTGCGTCCTGGAGAGCTTGAGAGCATTGATAAGGCCATTACTGAGGCCCGACGACAAATCCAGGAACCTTCCGAAGCACCTGCTGCTGCTGCCGTGAGCAAGGAAGAGGAGGAGTGGCGTCAATACATCTTGAGCGGCCACCTCCCCTATCGCCGCGACTGCAAGGCGTGCATCCTCGGGAGCGGGGTTGGCCTCCAACATCGGAAGGTTAAGGCCCCGGCATCTTTTGCCTTGTCTTGTGACCTTCTCGGTCCGTTGCCCGAGAAGGGGCTCTCGGAAGATTGTATCGCTTCCCGACCTCGACACAGATATGCCTTGGTGGCGGCCTACAGGGCACCGTCGGAGCTTTTGGAAAAGGGAGGCTGGATCGGCGCCAGGAAATCCATCGAGGATCTCTTCGCCAAGGATCTGCTTGATCAAATGGCCAAGGAGGGCAAGGACCTTCGAGGAATCCCTCCAATTCCTGAGCATGATGTCAGTCCTGCCGAGGAGGACCACCGTCTGGAGGAGGAAGTCCAAGACGTTTTCTCCTGGCCAGAGGAGGAGGAAGGGGCGCCTGAGATATCATCCACCTTGGATACCGTGACCGTGGAAGTTGAAGAGGAGGAGGAAGGGGGTCTGTGGGATGAAGAGGCCTTGCGAACGACTGTCAAACAGCTGGAAAGCCCTGTACCTCAAACCGTCCTTCGTTTTGTCCGCCCGATTCCCTCGAAACACTTCACGGCCATCCTGCCTGCCATCCACTCCATCATCTCCGAAATAGAGCGCATCGGTCTACCCGTTCGTTCTTTGCACACCGACCAAGGAAGAGAATTCCTCTCCGAAGGGTTGAAGGAATGGTGTTCTAAGCGCTCCATCCGTGTGAGTATGTCCGAGCCTCACGACCATAAGGGGAACGGACTCGCCGAGAGGATCGTGGGATGGAGTAAACAGAGGGCGCGCACGCTCCTGAGCAGTGCAGATCTCCCTGTCATCCATTGGCCCTCGGCGATGCAGTATGCTGCTTCCTTGCATCAACACCGAGTACTGGGAACATCACCTCCGGCCTACTTCGGGCAACGAGTGCTGTTTAAGAGGCCTGTCCTTCCTGGCAACCTGAAGCCCTGGAATCCCTGGTCCCAGGGGCGATACCTGTCACCGTCCAACATCGTTACCGATGGGCATGTTGTCTTGAATGATGAGGGGAAACTTGTGACGGTCCGGAACATCCGGGCAAACCCAGTCGATCCCGAGAAAGAAGTCCTGGATATGCCTGGCGTTGCTGCCGACTTTGGGTCCGAGTCCAAGCAAGACGACATTCCTTCATATGTCGTGCCAACAGAGCCTTCCGAAGAACGATACCAACCACCAGTACGTCGGGTTGTAGGAAAGACTCCGGGTGTTAGGTTGGGGGTTGAAGAGCCGCCGCCTGCACCACTAAGCCCGGAAGAGATTCCTCGTCTCGATGGAACTAAGAGCCAACCACCTCGGGTTGTAGGTAAGTCTCCGGGTGTAAGGATAGGGGTTGAAGAGCCGCCTGAGGTCGAGCCGCTGCCGCTCCCTGATAGTAAGGGGTTAGAAGAGCCTGCACATCGGGTTGTAGGTAAGTCTCCGGGTGGAAGGATAGGAACCGAAGAGCCACCTGAGGTCGACCAACCAAGTCCCTTTGCAGAAGGCCTTAGAGTTCGCCCTGACCCACTTCACCTTAGCACAGATCCAGCGGAGCCTCCTGTCCCTGCGCCTAGAAGGAAGATTACTGGCAAGACCAAGATGGCTAAACGCATCACGGTTGTCCAGCCCTTAGAAGAGAAAGCGAGAAGCCTGCGAGAAGCCTTGTCCTTCTCTCCTGGTGAAGTCGCTACCCTCCTGAATGAGGCCCTCAACATTCGTCCCTCCGCCAGCCATCAAAGGATTCGGGGCGTTGCTTCGGGTTGCACCTTTGGGGCTTATGCTAGGGGGTCCATCAACAAGGGAATTACCTTGGCGACAGGGGAGAGGCCCGAGCTTACCCGATACCTCAATGCCTTTCTGCAACACTCTCTCGGAGACTGTGAGCATCCGTCCGGAACTCCTCCCACATGGGTTGCCCTTGCTGTGTTCCGCGCGCGAGAGGTCTCTCCTCATCGTGACCTTCAAAACGAGATTGGGTCTTGGAACCATGCCGTCCATGTGAAGTGCCCTACCTTGTGGGTTGAGAGTACTCAAGACTCTAACCCGGTCTTTGGAGGAGGAAAGCAAGAGGAAAGCGAGGTCAAGGTTACTTCCGAAAGGGTTTTAGCCGGGAGGGAGGTTCAGTTTCTGGAAGGGGCTGTCACCTTCAATGCCAGAAACTGGCATGCCGTGCCTGCAAGTTCAGATTGGGTCATTGCGGGTTTCACACCACTGGGATGGGACCGTGACCTTTCTGATGCCCTTAGAGGTTTTGGGTTCCCTGTGCCCTCACCGGTGAGGATTGCAATGATCCAAGGAGGAGGGACATCCTCGAGCTCGGGAGAACTTGCTTCCGACCTGCAAGGCGACAGTGCCGCTACCTCTGGCATATCGGGAACAGGTTCCACCCAAGCCTCGATTCAAGTGTCCTCGCTTGGCTCAACTCCTGAAGAGGGCATCGAGCTACCTGACAGGCTTGGTGCCATCAATGACCCCGACTTAGTTAGGGCCCTGGTTACCCTAAACCTCCAACACCGAGTAGAGGGGTTAGAGGCCTTGGGAGTTGAGGTTGCAAGGGACATGCTTTATGTGTACCCAGAAGACTTGCTGGAGGAAGGCTGGTCTCTCGTGGAAACCAGACTTTTCCGTGAGTTGGTTCTGCGGAATCTTGAGCAAGGGCCCACCACTGATGCACGTCCTAGTGGTCCAACACCTGCGACCCCGGCTCAGGCTGGGGTACGAGCCATTGGAGGAAATGGTTCACGACCTACCTTCATCCAGGAGATCCGGCAAAGAAGGCATCAGAGAGCAGCGGAGGAACGAGCTTCCAATGTTTCTGATGATGCCACGGCCGGGTCGTCCGAACCGCCAGAAGGACGACCAGATCCTCGGGTGACACCAGCTATCATCGAAGCACCGGCCCAAGAGGCATTCGATGAGATCCAGCAGTGGACCCCAATTCCGCTTGAGGTTCTGCGACTTGCTGAGGAGCTTGGTTCCGAGGCGGATTTGGTGGCGCGACCTAGTGACATCGAATATGCCAACAACACGTTCGATGATATGGTTCGGGGGTACTTTTGGAATCGGAATGGGTTGCATCCCATCGTCGCTCGCCTGGCCCTGAGAACCTTCGCCAGACACCGCTGTGATGTCCTGGGCCTTTCAGACCGTCACCCTGATGAGGAAGCCCAGGAGGAGTCAACGCTTGAGACTCCGGTGATCCGAATGGCCCTGCATGACCACGAAGACCTTGAAGAACCCCCTCTGGCCAATGCGCATTCCTCATGTTCGAGCCGGATCCCAGCTGCCTTGCTTTCGCCTGCCTACATCATCCTTCAGCAAGGTGTTCAGTTTCCTAAAGAGGTAGACCAGGTGCCACATGTCTCCGAGGTCCAGGCTTGCAAGGCCGAGCTTTACACCCATGACATGGAGGGCAGGCTGGAAGCTCTGCAAGGAAGGCCTCTCGAAACCACTCACACCGTGGCGCCTGCCGAGGTGCGGCGCCATAAGCACCATTGGTTTCAGGCTTTCAAGAAGGAACTTGAGTCACTTGTTGGCAAGGGTGCGATAGAAAGGGTTTCCGGGAAAAGGGCAGCTGAGTTGCTTAATGATCCTGAAAGCACTGTGCTCCACGCCAAGGGAGTATGTACGGTGAAGCCGGGAAAACAGGACGAACCCTACCGTCGAAAGGCTCGGCTTGTCGCTTGCGGAAATGAATCCGGCTTTACGGACGCCGACGACCTTTACGCGTCGGGCGTGGCAGTCGAAGGACTGCGGGCCGCGCTCGTCGAGGCATCCCACAACCAGTGGGGTGCCTATGGCACCGATGTGGCCACAGCGTTCCTCCTTGCACCTTTAGGATCACAGGCGAAGGGACGAAAATACATCTTGAGGCCTCCGCAAATCCTGAGGGACCTCGCCCTCGCCGAGGAGGGCGAGTACTGGGTTATCCGTAAAGCAATATACGGATTAAGGGAGAGTCCACGATGGTGGTCCGAATACCGCGACCAGGCTTTGAAGGGGGTCAAGACAGTGGATCCGACCACAGGGGAGCTCCTAACCCTGGAACAGGGCCAGGTCGATGCTAACATCCTTCGCATCAAAGGGGTGGGGGGTGAGACGCTGGGTCTGATGATCCTCTACGTCGACGACGTGCTCTTTCTCACGACTGAGTCAAGAGCTCGAGCCATCTACGACTACATCAGGACATCCTTGGGTTGGGAACTGGATCCGCTTAAGCAGGCAACTGAGGAGGAGCCCCTAAAGTTCCTTGGGGTGAACATACGACCACTTCCCAAGGCCCCCGGCAAGGAGCCGGGCTTCTCCCTGGAGCAGACTGCCTACATCGAGGAAGTGTTGCATGCGCATGGGTTTTCTGGTCACCCTAGCTTGGTTGCATGCCCGAAGGAACTCCTCCATGATTTTCCAAACGAACCTGCAGGCGCTGATGCCCTGAAGCGTGCGCAGAAAATCACAGGAGAATTGCTATGGATCAGTCAACGCAGCAGGCCAGATATTTCCTACCTGGTGCACACCATGTGCTGCAACACCTCGAAATGTCCGGAAAGAGTTTGCGAAATAGGCCAGCGCCTCCTCAAGTTCCTCGCAGCCACGAAGAATGTCCGGTTGGAACTTAGGGTTTCCGATCCCCATGGAGGTGTTCAGGTTTTCACTGATGCAAGCTTCGCTCCGGAAGGAGCTCACAGCTTCGGTGGGGTACTAATTAAGTACAGGGGAGCCACGGTGTTTTGGAAAGCCACCAAGTTGCCCCTAATCTCCGTCTCCACGGCGGAAGCGGAACTCCAGACCCTAAGCGAAGGGGCTATCTTGGGCCAATCCTTCCTTGCCTCACTTCAGGATGTCACCAATGACATGTCGCCACTTCACCTCCGTTGTGACTCTACCGCCGCTATTGCCCTAGCGGAGGGGTCGTCCAGCCAGAGGACAAGACACCTTAAGGTACGCGCAGCTGCCTTGCGCCAACTTGTCGAGCAGGGGATGTCCCTATCCCACTGTCCGGGGGACATTCAGTGTGCCGATATCCTCACTAAGGCTCTTTCGAGTGCTCGCCTGAGAGACCTGAGCATACTGATAGGCTTGACAAGGGAGAGTGAGGAGCCAACCGCCAGTGTGCAATGCCTCCAGGGTTCTGGGTGTTCGCAAGGTTTAGCAGCATGGGTGGCATTGCTGATGTCGTATGCTGGGGTGATTTACGGTCAAGAGCAGCATGAAGGCCAAGCACCTCCGCCTCCACCACCACTTGTGCATGAGGATCCGCCCGGGGTCTCGGATGACACATGGCTGTATGTTGCACTAGTGGTTGTAGTGATAGCTGCACTTGGGGTTTGGGAATGCCTAAAGGGTGTAGGTAGGGGAGTTTACCGTAGGGTTGAGACCAGGCCCGTAGTCAAGGCCCTTTCCCGCCGGGAAGAGAAGCTGCAGCGAGCTGTGGCTCAAGCCCTTGAAAGGGAATTGCCATCCCCTGACACATCATCCACCACAAGCATCGAGATGCAAGCAAGGAGGAGACACAGGCGAAAACAAACGCCTCCGCCCCCGCCGCCGTGTGATTCACCTCAGGGCTCTGCCTGTGCATCTGGGGATAATCCATGGCTTCGCGCTCCTGTTCCACGACCTCCACCGCCTCATCCACTTCCTCCAACGCCTGCCCGCCCTGCCGAGGGTACCTCGCCTGTGCGCCATGCCGGGGTTGAGAGGGGTGTTAGGGGGGTTTCGGTTGCGGTTCAAACTGAGCCCGTCCTTGTCTTTGGGGTTGACGAGCATGCATACATGACTCCCAAAGGGAAGACTATCCATGATGATATCCATTGTCGTGCCGGCCTCCATCAACCCTTGGGTGTTACTGCGAAGACTCCTTGTAGGCATTGTCTCGGGAGGAAGACACGAAATGGGTAGTAGTGAAAGGCGCCTGGCGGCTTTTTCAAGGAGGAGTGTTGAATGTCCAGACCCTCCACGAGCCCTTTGCCCAGGTGCTTCGCTTCTTCTTTTCCGACTTGTGGTTCAAAGGCATGCAGCACGAGTACATAACCCGAACATGCTTGAAGCACTCAGTAGGGATGTGCTTGGAAGGGGCTGCATGCACCGCAAACACATAGCTTTCAAGAAAGATTTGTAAGTCTGGCTTTGTATAGCACTTGTCAGCTTGCTTTTGTTCTTTCTTCTCTTCTGAGTCCGAGCGTGTTCGCTAGCTGAGAGAAAAGCCATAGGCCGCTCTGCGCTGTGCAGTCTGGGAGACTTTGGGCGATTGGAGTTTCGGAGGTTTTCTTCGGCAAAGAATACAAGGTTCGAGATTTCGGAGGAGGACTCAGTCCACATCGAAGGGGTGCTCTTCGCTGGGGACCTGTTTGAGCCATCAACAGTACCTTATATAGTCCCTAGATTATCTTATGTCTTATATCGTCCCTAGATTCACCTTGTGTAGTCCCTATACACCCGCCTATGGGCTCATGGCTCACAACTCTATTTTTAGGGTTGTCGTTTCTCCTCTACTCTTGCTTTGTCTTGTCTTTTTTTCTCTTCTCCTCTCATCTCTTCTCTTCTCATCTCCCCAACACCCAACAACTCTCGGGGTCAAGCGCAAATCGAGGGTGCTAAAAAAGGCACACCCCGAAGCACCCCCAAGCACCTTCCAAAAGAAACACCCCAACACCAAGAGTACTAAGGAAAAGCACACCGGCCCGCAAGCAGGCCAGCAATTGGTACCCCTAACCACGCGCGCCCACGCCTACCTTCTCACTCACCCTAGCCCTAGAGACCAGTTTTTGTTTCGGAAATCAATCGTATTCATTGGCAAAATACTGTTTAATATCATTTCTGAATTTTTCTGACACCAACATGTACTTACAAATCTCTTCTGAAAAGCCTTCCTCTAGGAGATATCGATTAGAATAACTTTTCCAAGATCAGAGACAGAGTTCTCGTTAGCCTCAGATATGAATGTATTCTGAACGCATGCTGCGCGCTGCATGTTCACTGTTACCCAACAGAGCTCAGCTGGCATTGCAGGTGCGGAAATACCGAACTGCACGCTACATGTCACATGTCCTTCTATTCTTCAGCACACGCTCCGCTCACAGCGCCAGAGCAACCGACTGCTCACCTGCAACTCCACGGTCACGCGCAGTAGCAGCAGGTCAAAAACGATTCGGCGGGCGAGGACCTCGTGTGGGCGATCATCACCCACATCATCTTGGGATCCCTCACCCTCGCCCTCGTCCACGTCATCACGCACATCATCTCGGGATCCCCCCCCCTCGCCCTCGTCCACGGCCGGCGTGGCATGGGAGGGAGGGGCAGCGGCAGTTGCTGCACGGCCTTCGGCCAGTGCTGGCAGTCACCGTCGATGTGTCTCCCGGGCCTGGTTTTAAAATTTTCGATTTACAAATTACATACAGTTTACATGAACCCCAGATAACTGATACGTGATAATTGATAATCGCACCTTCAGATTGAGGATCAGGCCGCCCAGTTCTGCCGGCACCTATAGGCTATAGGCGGCTTTGAGGCCCATGACGCTATTTGAGCCATCAGGGTGGTGAGTCATGAGTCTGTCATCTATGAAACGCACTCACGCTCCGAGAGCGGGCGGACCGACTCCAAAAGCAGCAGGATACCACGGGCCATCGTCGTCGCCGCCTAATCAAACCCTACACAACCCAAGCCCAAGCCTAAAGCCTGAAGCCTAAAGCCTAAAGCCTAAACCCTAAACCCTAAACCCTCAACCCTAAACCCTAAACCTTAGACCCTAAACCCGAAACCCAAAACTAAACCCTAAACTAAACCTAAACCCTACACCTCTAAAGCCTAAAACCCTAAGCCTAAAGCTTGAAACTTAATACTTAACACCCAAAAACTACCCTAAACCCTCAAACCCTAAACCCTAAGCCTAAACCCTAAACCCTAAATACTGGTCGGTATGGCACAATGGACTTTACCAGGCGATGCCAATGCTGCCGCTGTTGCAGCGGCCGCCAGGCAGGGGGCTGTGGCGCAGAGACACCTGTACGAACCGAGACCCGCGCGTTGCAAAGTTGCAGCGTGCAAAGAAGCAGAAGGCTTGCGAACTGCTTGGGCAAAATGCTACAAAAGGTTCTCACAAAAGATGTTCAATCGCACAAATAGCCATTTATATCAAAAACGACAAATCCCCCACAACCCTCTCCACACATACTCTTTGCTTTTATTTCCTATCCTCTCTCTTATCTCTTCTCTTTTCTTTCGTCGTTCTTATGGATTTTCTTTTGTGTGTTCTCTCATGTCTCTATGAAAATTCATTTCGAAATGACGAAAACTCCTTTCTCTCTTCCACGATCTCTCTTACATCTTTCTATCTTATTTCTTTTCCACTTTCTATTCTCTTGTATTTCTCTCCTTGTTTTCTCTTCTATCACATCATGTCTTTCCTCCTTCTATTCTATTCTCTATCTATGTCCCCCCAATACATTCCTTAAAACTCGAGAGGCCTAGGGACTTGCGGCTGATTGGGGGGTTTAGAGGTTTGTAAGGTTTAGGGGATTAAAGGGCAAGGAGGTTGTGAGAGGCTTGGGCTTGGGAGGTGCAAGGAGTTGAGGGCAACGCACCTTGGTGGCGTAGCTGCTTCGGAAGCTAAACCCTAAACACGAAACCCCAAACCCCAACCCTCAACCCTAAACCCTAAACCCTCAAACCCTCAAACCCTAAACCCTAAAACCTAAACCCTAAAGGGTTTTCGAGTTTTGTGGTTCAGCATTCGGGTTTGAGCTCGGGGGTTTGAGTGCTGTGTGGTGATTTAGGAGTTGGACTCTGAGTCCAACTTAACCTAAATCTGAAGAAGGGTGATAGGGTTTAGGGCTTAGGGTTTGGGGTTTGAGGTTTGGGGTTTAGGGTTTAGGGTTTAGGGCTTCGGGCTTAGGGGTTAGGGTTTAGGGTTTAGGGTTTGGGGTTTGGGGTTTAGGGTTTAGGGTTTAGGGTTTAGGGCTGTTCTAAATGAGGGTTTGCAGGGCTTGGGTCTTAGGGTTTTGGGCTTATAGCTTGAAATTCCCAATCTCTTCGGGTTTAGGGTGCAGGGCTTAGGGTTTATCCAAAGCTTATTTGGGGGAGGGGGGGGGGGGGTACGAATTATACTTCGAGGATATGCAGATGCGCAACAAAGAGTCCAGAACCCTGAGCCCCCCTACAAACCCTGTAAACCATGTATACCCTCTACATATCCTGTATACCCCTACAAACCGTATCCCTGCAAACTCTATAATTGCGATAAACCCTATAAACCCTATTAAGTCTTGCAAAGCCCTATAAACCCTACAAACCCTGTAAAACCTCATAAATCTGATAAAGCCCTGTAAACCCCTCTAAACCTTATAGCCCTACAAACCCCAAACACACGGCTCTGTCTTTAAAACCCTAAACCCTAAACCCTAAACCCTAAACCCTAAGCCCTACACACTAAACCCTAAACCCTAAAAACCCTAAACCATAGCCTAGCCCTAGAAACCCCGAACACACGACTCTTTCTCAGAGAACGGGAGAGCTCGTAGAGGCAGATCGCCGCGGCGTGGGCGACGTTCAGAGATTCGCCTTGACATTGGGGAACCTGGGCCGTGGTTTTTTGGGGCTGTGCCCCATTACAATATGGTTTAGGGTTTCGGGTTTAGGGTTTAGGGTTTAGGGTTTAGGGTTTAGGGTTCAGGGTTCAGGGTTTAGGGTTTAGGGTTTGGGGGTTAGGGGTTGGGGGTTAGAGGCTCCGTCTCAGCCCAATCCTGGAACCCTGGGTCGAAGTTCACCTACACCCCCGAACCCTAAACCCAAAACCTACTTTAACCCCTAAACCCTCATTTAATCCCTAAACCCTAAACCCTAAACCCTAAACACTAAACACTAAACCCTAATCCCTAAACCCTAGCGGCCGGACTCCAGGACAACGGCCCGCGAATCACCCACGTTTGCCGACTCACACAAGCCAAGGCTTGAAAAGCGGTGGCATTCAGCAAGTGGCTTTGAGAGCCCCCAAGTGGAGACGCGGACCTGAAGCCGTCCGATGTGTCAGCACCTCCGACCGGACACCAAAATCTCTGCGAGACCAACATCTCCGTAAGTACCCTCGAGTACCCTCGTGCTGTCACAGACGAGCCCGAGTCCTAAACCCTAAACCCTAAACCCTAAACCCTAAACCCTGAACCCTGAACCCTGAACCCTAAGCCCTAAACCCCAAACCTTAAGGTTTAGGGTTTAGGGCCACAACCCCCGCCATTCTCCGGAAATGCATTCCCAAGCCACGCAGATGCGCTCGTCGCTTAATTCGATGCAGTCCTGGTCTGCCAAAGCTAGGGTTTTGGGCGTAGGGTTTATGGTAGAGTGGTGTAGGGTTCTTAGGGTTCTTCTGGTTCTTAGGGTTCTTTGCGTCCTTGGTTTCATGGCGCATTCGGACTTTCGGGTTTGACCTCTGGTTCCTCGGGTTTAGGGTTCAGGGTTGCAAGCCTTTAAAACTTGGCGCTTCGGGGTTACAAGGCTTCTAGTTATGATATGGTGAGTGCTCTCAATTGTGGTCCCTTTGTGGGTACCCTAAGTAAGAAGGGCCGCCCATATACCAAAGACCCCAAAAGTGACCATATATTAGAGAAGTGATCATCGGTTTTTGGGGGCTGAGGGTTTGTTGGGGTGAAGGGTCTGCCTGCTTGATCCCTGAACGCTACCCGAGATCCCCCCAAACCCTGAACAATAGCTCAACGCTCTAAACCCCGAACCCTGAACCCTAAACCCTGAACCCTAAATGTCCCTACTGTTGTGTCAGTGCCCGCCGGCCCGACAGATCGTACTGGAGGAGGGCGGCCTACACATTGTGAGGGGCGGGAGCACTGAGACAGCTCCTTTCCAAAAAAACTTTGAAACCCTTGTCCCTAAACCCTAAACCCACGTGA